ATATAGGAATTCACAATGTAGTAAAGGTATGCCAGGCATTCTAGTTAGACAATGTCGAAGTCAAAATTCATAGCCGTCTTAGCTTTTCCACCCCTTCTACAAAGTTAGCAACCACCAGCCACCTTCTAAAAAGAAATAGTGATTGTGGAATGCCTCTCATTGCACACCACTCTAATTCAAAAACCAGTCATTTGTATCAACCATGTCACAAGTTAAAAATGTTTGTTGCAAATCTATAGAAACAAAAAAGACGTATAAACAAGAATAATGTGCAAGCATAAAAGTTAGATGGCAAACATGTTGATAGCTGCCTAAGAATTAGGTCTATAAGCAGAACAAACACATGCTAATGGGGGCTGATACATATGCCAGCGTATATATCATATATATAATTAGCATTTAAAGAAGCATACTTTGATATAAACAACTTACTAATAAAGGAGAATGTACAATTTTTTACATTTTGTTAGTGATTTGATAAGAGATTCAATCACTGCACCTCCCAACGTTATGCATTGAAGACAAGTTGTGAGGGGCTTATACATCCAGCTACCACTTATGATCGTCATTCCACTTTCACCTAAGGGGTAAAGAAATCCCTTCACCTACCCATTACAAACTGCAGGAAGATATCTAAAGGTGTCTAAGAAGATGACATGTGAGAAGAGAGACAAAAAATCATGGATTTGATAGATCTTAAAGGTTTTAAGATGCTTAAGAATCAGGTTGGGTCACCACTTTTGAATTTTTCAATTTCTAAGTGTGCCATTATCATTATATGAATTTTGTATTACCATTTATGAAAACTTCCCAAAATGCATTTTACAAAATGTAGATTTGAATGATAATCTCAAAACTTGAACTCCTTGAAACTAGATATACTTAATTGAATCTTTACAAACATTACCAAATACTTGCATAAATTACTGACAAAATAGCCACACTAATAAAGAACTCTATAATGCTCCAACAAAATACAAATGTATCAGATTCTCACCAGCATTTAAAGTTTAATAAACAAAAGACACATTTGCGTTACAATAGAGATGCATGTTTAGAGGACACTTAACTCAAACAACTTGAATGGAAGCACGAGAGGATTGAATAATGTGAGGTTGAATTTTCAATAACTTCTACTAGTTTATGGCACTGAAAGAAAATGCCAGGGAAATACATGAGAAGTTGCTACCTGAATTTATGTTCTTCTCTCTTTTCGGGTACATGAAACAAATCTCTGCTTGTGAGACACAGTCTTTTGAATGTCTCCAAAATTACAACCAAGGAAAGCAAGCATCTGTATAGTATCACTAGCAAATAGGCCCTTGCCAATTGCTATTATAAGAATAGACATTAAATACAAAGCCTGTGCACCAAAGAATAATTTCATAGCAAAAATTAACAGAAACACTACAAGATTATAAGCCCAACATGAACTTTGCTTGGCCTCACCATGCACTTCCAATATGGCTAGAGTTTATAGCGATCATAGCATCATTGTCCAGGCATTGATTAATATCAATCATACAGACTTTTCTTCTTCTGAATAGTTCACAACACTAGACAACACGCAGTAGTGGAACTATTATAAAAAGCATAATAAATGGAATCAAATACATGGAAAATAATAATACATTGCAAATATTGCTAACAAGTAGACGATTAAAAATGCATACATAATGTTATTTATAGAGTTTATGAGAGTAACATTATTGCTGTACACTTTAAGTTTCCATCACCCAATTCCCACGAATTTGCAAATTCTCGTGCTTTCACAATGTTAATACTTAGAAGGTCAAACTTTTCGGCCATTACCGATCAATTATTTGCAAAATATGGAGTCAGGCTTTAACAATAGAACAATAATCACTAGTAGAACTGAGTGATCGAGAGGCACGGGAACCCAAACAAAGAGGATGTCCACCATCAACATGTAATAATAAAAATCATTTGAATAACTCAATCAATTTCAAATCATCAAGCACCGCATACATGAGAAGGCGGCTCCAGAGGAGCTGCGGATAGTAAATCCTAGTAAAGCAAAAAATAATCCAACAAGGAAAAAGAAAAAATAGCGCGCGCAACAGTAATCTTCTATCCTTTAAGATACTGATTCCGAGCAGCCAAACAAGGCAAGGGAGGAAAATGAAGAGCTCCGCCGAAGCGTATCCGAGTCCGGTGGCAAAATGCATCAAGATGGGTAGATTGCAGGGCGTGCATCTATGAGGTTCCAAGACCTCGTGAGTCGCGGCGTCTGACATGCACGAGCAAGAGTTGGAAGCAAATTTATGCACGAGTGATGAGCCAAATTGCAGTGGCATGGCAAGGTCGGTGAATGACACTTCTGCTTGGCGACAATACATTGTTCGTGTATAAAACCGTAATATTACACTGCATGTCCATCTCCCAGGAAGGCGAGAGGGCTGTCCAGTCAAATCTTCCAGCTGGCTTTCGGAGTATTAACGTATAACTGCTGTTAGGTGCTGGATTAGCTGCTTCTCCCGCTCGATTAGATTAATTAATAACCATTAATTTTTTTGGGGATTTTTGCATCTATTTTGGCAAAATAAAAATAATTAAATAACAAATTTATTACAGTAAATTTCCTAATTAGAAGATTTAGAACAATTAGTTGCTAAAAATTAATAAATTAATATCTGACTCACATAAAATTGATTTGAAGTCTTTATTTTTGACAAAAAATGGCAACAATTATCTGTAAATAAAGTAAAAATAATCTAATTTTATATGCCCCACATGGATGGTTCACGGCCAATCTTTTTTTTTAGTGGCAAGCCTTCAAACAGCGACAGGGATGCAGTTATCAGTTCCTCTAGAATAATAAATGCATTAATAGTCCCAATATTTTTAGAAATTATATATTTTTCTCACATATTTGAAAGAAAGAAAAAATTATAACTCTCTTTGTAACGGGTGAGGGCAATCTTCTATGAGTAGAGGTGGACAGACGACACAATGCCAATTTGACAAGTTACAAGACCTCCAAAAATTTAGAGAGCAAGCTAAATAAAGTAACAACCACCCTTTTGGCCAACAGGCTACCCATTTATCTACACTGTTGCTGGCTTTGTATTGTTCATGGATGGTTAGCTTACCATCTTGGGCAAATATAGAAATGTTACAATAAACCATTAGTAAGCATAGGATCATGTGAAGTAAGATATACTTAGAGATTGGTGTTTATACCCCACTCTTTAGCTATGTACTTAGTTATATACCCAAAAAGAGAGAAGGAAGAAGAACTCAAAATCAAGATATTATAGCCTTTTGAGCTCAAGTCTGGTATAACCCTATTCATGGGTCCAATTCATTCTAAATCGTGAAGGTTTGTGGTTCGGTTACAATTCAAATTTTTTTGAACTTGGATTGGAACTAGAATCAAAAATAAATTGTGAATCGTGATTCATAAATTGGAACCAGGAATGAATTGTGAGTCAGAACTAGAAATGAACTATGAATTGTGAACCGTGAATCATAGATCGGAATTAGGAATGAACTGTGAATCATGAACCATGGACCGGAACCATGAATAAACTGTGAATTGTGAACCGTAAAAAAATAAATACATAAATCTAAGAAAATACTGATTAAACTTCTCCCATTCTTATTTTTAAGGGAAAAATAAAAAAAATAATAGCTTCATGTCAAATGGAATTGGTTAGCTTACTACATTGGATATTAAAAATATGTTAAAAATCATAATTTAAAAAAATACATTTTAATATTTATGATAAATTTTATGCTATTTTTTAAGATATTGATATCCATAAACCAAACTTAAAGGGATGTTCATGTTTCCTAGTGCACCTATATTGTCAACTTTTTCTAATATAGAATAATAATTTTTATTTAAGCAAATGTTATATGAACATTACGAATGTTGTGTATAAATATGTGCAACAATTAATAAATGTTTTATATCCATTATTTAAAATAAATTTACATATTATCCTAATCCTTTGGAATTGAGTAATTATGAATTTAATTTAATTTCACAAATTTAGCCACTAAAAGCATTTATTTTTATCCAAATTATTGAATATTTGTTTACTTATATGGATTGCAATTGAAATATTTTTCGTGAAAGATATCGTTTAATTATTCTTTATTTATTGCCTAGAAGAGTCATGCGTTCCATCCACCAGTCAATAAATTAAAGTAACTAATTTACATACATATAGATGGAAAAGCTATTTTCCAATGTTTAATAGTTTAAATAAATTAGAAAATAAATTATTTAAAAATTTTCAAATGATTTATAAGTTAATAAATAAATTTTTTTTACAAAATCAAATTGGAACTAAACCGAACCAAATTGAACCGCGAATGGATCGGAATCCAACTGAAGTGTGAATGAACCAAAAACAAACTGTGAACGAATTGGGAAATGAGCCGTTAATGAATCGTGAACGAATTAAGAATGAACAAGAATTGAACTGAATCGCGAACGAACTAGAACCAAAACCAGAACTGTGAATTGACCGGCCCAAGATTGTGAACCGGCTCGAATCGGAACCGAAACAAGAACTGTGAACGAGCCTGGAACTGGCATGAACCATAACCGAGATCAGATTGACCTTCAAGGTTCTGGTCCTGATTCATATTTTTCTGGAATCGAAACCAACAATCCAATTCTGGTCTGAGCCGGTTCAAGGCCCATGAACAGGGCTAGTTTGGTAGATTAGAAACCATGAAATATAGCTTTTTGAATTTTTTTAACCTTTTGGCTTGTAAACTGAACAGATAGTCCCTTTAGGGACACCAGATAAAATTGAATCACATGAGGATAATAAGGAGAAGAACCAAATACTCTTCAAGTAAGTCATTTTTATTTGTTAGAATTACCCAGAGATTAATTATATAAAAAGATAAATCAATTTGTTGAGCTCCCACCAAATAACATTCAAAAATAAGTAAAAGATTTCGTTTTGAAAAGGATAGAAGTAAAAATAGAGAGTTCTAAATTGGAAGCATGCAAAGATTTAAGGGTAAGTACTGTCAACAGCCATAGCCATGAATGCTTGTTCCGCATTTGTAGCATCTTTTGCACTTGTTTCCATGAAAGGGATGCCTATTTCATCTGCAAAAGCCTTTTAATACACCAAAAACATTACCTTGATATTACTAATTTGCTCAACGGAATACATTGAAAGCCAAGGAGTAGGCATTTAGGAGTCAGACCTTGGCTATATCATAGGACACAACTCTATTATCAATAAGGTTTAATTCCTACAAGGAGTTGCTTACACTCTCATTGGCATAACAATCAATTTCATTTAATTATTGCTTGATATTATTGAAGTTCTCCTGATCTGTTATGTCATATACTATCTACCAGAAATTGCCAGTAATATCAACAGTTGAACAAATTGAGGACGCACTCCATTAGCCAAAAGACTAAAAAAGGGAAATCGGTGGCATAATATGAAAGGAGTGAGAAATTTACTGTTATGCCATGTGCCCCACGATAGTAACTGCTAGTGATGGTTCTGAAGCGCTCTTGACCAACAATGTCCTACTATAGTCCCAAAAAAGGCAAAAAAGAATTATAGAGTGGCTTTACATAACATTTCAAACAAAATGAAATTATAGATAGAAGGTGATGAGCCAAATCTAAAAACCAAAGCTATGCAATTGGTCATATCTTTAGCAATTAAAGGTATTTTAGAATGATTATCCCTATTTACATTAATGTTAAGTAGTAGCAGGACTATCAGTCTGAATCACACATAAACAAATAAACAAGGAGGAAAAAAATTTCACCCCTTGATGGGAAAAAACTAGATAGAAGATAAGAATGAATAGAATCAAAGGATTGTCTTAACCATTTTCCCTAGTTAGTGGTAGAAATAGAAAAATCATCGGAGGCGAAGAATCTAAACCACTCCAATTTGAGACCTCTATATCTTAAAGGACAACAAAAACAAGAATCTTACAATTTGAAGTTTAATTGTCTTTCCATCTTGCTCCACAATACAAATTTTCTACAAGCCATAGAATAAACAAATGCAGAAATAATCAAAATATAGAGCTGTGATTGTGCCAAATTGGTATTTAACTAAAGCTAGATATACCAATACTCACAAAATCAACACCAATAGTGCCAATATAACTGACTAGATATGAATCATCTTGCACCAATGAAACAAAAGAATATGTTAGCTACGAAAGAATTCAACTCCAAGTAATCAAGAATAGTGTATTTAGATGGGACGGGAATATTATCCGTGCTAAAATTTATTATTCAAAGCATAAATAACTAATTGACATGTGTTGATTAATTAAATTAATGACCATATCCCTTTAAAATTTTCTATGAAAAACAATATACTTTGCCATCTTGGACAACTGTCATCAAAGTTATTTATAGTGCATAGCACATCATTGCACAAAAGGTCCATAGTGATATAATGCATAGCGAATCATGTTGCGTATGACTATTTTGTAAAATAGTGCATATTATATAATAACAATTTATAACAACAATATATAAGAAAAACTTTTTCAATGAACATTAAACTTAACTAGTTATCAATATACAAACTATCCAATAATCATCTAAATATGTCAAACATTGAATGACACATCATACAAAGTCTAAAACATAAAATAGCACACCAAACAAAGTTTAAAACATAAAAATATGATCAAATAAAATCTAAAACATAGCAAGAGCATAACAAAGAGGGGAACAGTGAAAAATAGAAAGCAATGAACAAAACTAATTACTGCAATAAAAAAGAGATAGAGAAAGAGAATAGATAGGGAAAGGCAAGTCAATAGAAAGGAAAAAACAAATTAGCATGCCAAGGGGAAAAATAGTGTCTCTGGCTTGCGAGGCTCAATGGTTTATGAAAAGAGAATGTGAAGGAGAGGAGAAATCTGAAATTGATAGAAGAGATTTGAGCCTCGATGGCTTGTGAGGAAGAGAATTAGGATCAACTCAAACTCAATGAGGAAAGCCAGGGCTTGCAAGGAGGAGAAGCAAGGCACAATGGAGAAGAAGCTAAGGCTTGTGAAGCTCAATGGAGAATAAGCTACGGATTGCGAGGGCTTATGAGATTAAGAGAGAAAGAAAAAGGCTTGCAAGGTTGATTGAGGCTCAATCCAAGGCTTTGCGATGCTTGATATCTAAGGGTAGGGCTTTCAGTTTTGGGACTAAAATTGCCCATTTCGTCATAGCACATATAATGCAACATATCGCACATGCATATAGTGCATATAACACTTGCCATGGCTTGCAATGTGAAGCTAGCTACACAATGGCTGAAATGAAGCAAGCACTACTATAGCAATGCGCTATGCATAATAGTGATTGCTATAGTGCGCCATTAACAACTATGACTGTCATTACCAATATTTTTTCAAGAAAGCAAATTATGTATGATGTGAAAGGAATTGATATCAAAAATTAGGAGAACACCTAATCTAGTAGCAATCAAAAGATTATCATGCAACTTTCTAGATGTTTGTCTAGGTTCTTTTCTAGTGCTCATTTCCATGCAAGTGGAGAAGTAATCTCATAATGCATGTGTGTACATGATAGTTTGTAAACTCTTAATCAAGATAGAACACAATGCCAACAATCCTATGCAATTGTGTACCAAGGAAATATTCCATTCAAATTATATAGGTGCCATACAAATCATAGTTAATTTTTCCTTCATTACATAAACACTGTATGGAGAGAAAAAAGGGTAAATGGTGTGCATACTAGAATTTACGGTCATTGTCACAAATTCCTAGACTCAAAACTGAAAACACATAATCGAGTTTCTGACCCTTTAATCTTTTGCCCTTTCTTCAAATCTAAGTATTTCAAAGTTGTCTTCAAGTGACCCTAGACTGGGTGTACAAATCACAAGGTTATACCAACAAAATTAGCATAGAATCTTGACAATCTATTTTTAATACCCATCACATAGAACCAACATAGTGAATTTCACTTTAGGATGCTTCAACCCATTAGACCGCAACCAAACTGAGATGGATGAGAAAGGCTAAATAAAAAGCAAATTTGCAAGTTAGATAGTTTTCAACTTCTTCAATTTGATCTATTATATGCCCTCAAGGGCAGTATAAATGTGAGAGAGATAGAGAGAGAAGGAGAGAATCAAATTTAAATAGTTATCCAACTCAATGATTCACATTTTACACTAACCTGTGTGACACACTACTAACACCCAATAGTTTAGAGAGTATATTCAATTAAAATGTATTAAAATGAATATTTCCTTTGTAAAAAGGAGAAGAATATGGGAGAAAGTAAATGCACTAAAAGTCCCTTATGGTAAATCTCAGAAGAAAACATGATTTTCCAACTCCACAATCTCCAATCAGCAAAAGCTTGAATAAATAGTCACTGGAAAAAAAAAAAAAAAGAAGAGGATATATATTTAAGAACTCAAGATGCAAAAAGAATGTCAACTCTCAAATTTAACCAAGAAATAAGCATCATACTCAATGTTTAGTCACTATGGCATAAACTTGAACTGGAACAATTATTTGAAAAATAAAAACGTATAAGCATTCATTTGGCTAAATTGGTGACCAGCAAGAAATATATACTTATTTCTTTACAAAATTGCAGCATCTGTCTAGAAACCTCCTCTACCTATTATGATTCAATCAAAAGCATTATATGACATATAGAATGGTGTGCATGGACCTTGAATTAATACTTTATTTACAAACATTATAAGGAATGGCACATTACCCTTAACATTGAAAAGGATGATTTTCATCTTGTCCTACCATTTCAAATTGGCTAGTAAATATTAGAAAGGGCATCAAAAAGGGGTCATGTCATGGGAAAACTTATAGGAACATATATATTCTTTTGGTTCATTTGAGGGGCAAAACCCTATGAAAAGGAAATTTGTTGTTAAACTGCCATGTTTTTCACCCCAGGAGCCTTGTTGCACAAGCACAAAAAAGAAAAAAAGAAGCCATCGTATCAATCTCAAAGACTATACAAAAAGTTAGACCAAGTTTCAAAGAAATTACTTAAATCGTCTTCCAAAAAAACCAATTCCAGCTTTACTTCACTACTTCTCTTCTTTTAAAACAGACACATATTAATTATTTTAAAAAAAATGTTGAGAATACACCTTAATAAAGGTAAGCAACCTTGAGATTCATAGAGTAATTGCTAGAGTTTTTCAACTATCAGCAAAGCAAATGGCTAGTAGCATCTTTAGACTACGCCTAATAAAATTTAAGGCAGAATGAGTGAACCAAATCCATTTTAGTGTTCTTCCACTTAAGTTTCCACTAAATACAAATCAGACTTCTTCAAAAGGTAAACAAAGAGGCACGAATTCATGTATTGGCAATACATTTTTATACAAAGCAAAGCAACCTCCGTGGGCTCCAATTAACAAAAACCAGCCTTCGTACCACGAAACACGAAATCATTTCAAGAAGATCCAAACAATCCAATCAAAGAAATAATGGTTACTCAACAAATCAAATAGCTGTCACATATAAAACACATTTACTATCATTTTTATCAATTTTAAGATAGATCTAAGCAGAAGCAAATCTTTGAACGAAAACAAAACAAGGGAACTGTTCACTAGAGCCCTATATTCTTCTAATAGAGAGTGAAGGATTGAAACTACTTACTATTTGGCTAGCCATCTGGGGTATGTGGTAGGTTTATAAGATATGATATGATATACGACTTAATAAAGTACTAGACCTTGTATGCTATGTTAGTTTGACTTTGGGATTTCGGCGGCCCATGGTGCCAACAACATAGCATTGTAACACCCGACACATTTTAGCTTATAGGGCCCAGACTATGTTTTCATATCTTATGTGTTATGCTTTATGCCCCCAAATAATATCTTGTTGTGCACATGAGGCCAGAGTGATATTCAAATGATTTATTGCTTTTCGGAATGATGTTCTATTTTTAAGATATTGTAGTATTTATGCATCATTGTTGACAAGAAATTTACTAAATGGTGATGTTGTGTTATTGTTATAGGATTTTTTTTCATGGTTTTTCTTCGGATGGTCATTTTCTAATTATATTTTTTCTACTTGATAAACGAAGAAGTCTCACTGTTTTCACTGAAATTAGATTGTATGTCATTCATTGATATTACAGTCTCACTCTTTTATCTCTTTTTTCCTAGAAATTTGGAGGACAATAACTAGACTCATTGCATCATCTATTTCTAACATTTAGCAAAGTCGGGCCATCTATAGGAATTTGTGTTATAGTTTAATTTAAGCTAGAATTGACTACAATATGGAAGTCTTATGTTTAGATTAATAAGTTAATAGTAGTCTCGTATGGTGAATTTGTGTGCTATAAATGTGTAATTAGTGGACTCTACTCCCAGCTTTATTTCATTATCTTCTACTGTGTTAGGTAAATAGCTGATTATTCATCCTAGAAAGTTGAAATAATATTCCCATGCATATTGTATATTAGTATAGATTTATTACACTTCTATAGGTGCCCAAACCGGCTTTCAGTTAGGGATTATAATGGCCAGCATGATGTCAGATTTTTGTCATGGGAGTATGTGAGAGAGACATCCTAGTTGGTCTATTGGAGCTGAGAAAGTGGCTGCCATCAAAAAGTCCCAATTTCACTGCATCATCAAAGAGAAGGGGTGAGGCACTA